ACCCCCCCCCCCCAATGACCGTACCCACACGATCACTACACGTCAGCTGCGCTTACATACATGTACTTAGGGTTACGGAGCAACAACCTTACATTTTATCTATTATACGTGATAAGTTCAGCAGTTCCTCGTTTCAAATTTACTCACGACCAAGCGTGTTCTGAGTCCTATACGATCGACCCCGCTTTAATCCCTTTGCGTCTAGACTACCTCTTATTTTTTTGCGGCAAAAAAAAAGGGGAGGAGAGAGTGCGGGGAGAGACAGAAGTACAGCAGAGAGAAGACGAGTGTACTTCTGTAGACGCAACAGTTATATCCACCCATAGGCCATGAGGGCTGCCCGCGACAGGACGGTGGACACAGACAGGATCATAGAAGGGTTGATGCGTGGTCGCGGTGCGGCCGGTAGCGCAGTTTAGGCTTGTAGACCTCGAAAAGATCAGTCAAGCCGCCTGAACTAGTCTATTTTCAGTATATTCAAATGATCAGTGAAAATGATCAGTGAGAGGCCTTGTAGACCCATACCTGGTTCTTGTACTTCTGTACTTCCCCGTCCCCTCCCCAATGTGAGCCCTGCCGGCTCACTACAGCTCCTGTGATTGTCCCACAATTCCCACAAGCACCCAAGCACACACCAGCACACACCTACCTTTGCATCAGTGGCTCTCTAGGTTCGGGCGAGGGTATGTGTAGGGCTATGCTGATAGTGTATGTGTTACTATCTACTCTGCTGTAAATGTCAGACTCGTCTATACGGCTGCTGCTGTGTAGAATAGCCGCTGACATGATGACTGTGCTGGATCTTGGGAGTGTACGATTTCGAATGTGGAGGATATGCAGCATACCACGATATCCTGGCCCCTTTGGACTTGAAGTGCCCCTTTTCGCTGTCCTCCTGTCTTTGCTTTATTGGCTTCGGGCGAGGGCATACATGTGAAGCTATTGATGTGTGTCTCTGTGAAAGGATGTGGGGAGAGATTCATGGTCGTATTCGCATTTAGAGCAGTGTGCATTTTTCTAATAATTTTTGGCCGTTCCAGGGACCTTGATATTTCCCGCTGGCACTAACGTCTTTTCATTGGCCACCGGGTAGCGCGGTCGATGCGAATAATAAAGACACACCTACCTATTGACATGCCAACACCTGGCGTGGAGGGATACAGGCCGGCAACTCCATGGCACGCCACAACACCAGCATTTAGAAACAAATGATCAACCAATCATCTGTCAGGACGCCTGTAGACCCAAAAGGGTTAAGGATGCACATGGTTTTCCCGAAAAAAAGCGTCCTTAAAGCGGGGTTGCGTCCTTAAAATTCAGGGGACGATAGCTCACCATCCCCGGGACCAATGGAGGCATGCTCTACCTCAAACTATGAGTCTTTTGCTAAGGGCGTGGTACGAAAAGTCAGCATCGCCGAGACGACTGGCAACCGTTTGTTGACGTCGAACATATTTACAAAACTTAAAATGAGATGTACAGCAGTCGGAGACGTGTTGAAAACAACTAAAATACACCAGCTTGTACTTGGCCAACTATTGTACTGCATAGCCGGCAGCGGAAGAAGAAGGAAAGTCCAAGTAGACACATATTTATCTCATTTTTGTGAAACAAAAAAAAACGAGCGTATTTCAGCGACGCACCGAGGGACACCAGTTATCAGTACATATCATTGTCCCGGCGGAGACCAAAAGCTACCCTGATGGCTTTTCCTTCCACACATCGCGAAGAGATCCCTGAACCTCCCCCCGCGGCTTGGCTCTACGGCTCTGTTGAGTTTGATGAGTAAACGAATGAACGGTCTTCGAAAGAAGGTGCTGCGTCTCACGATACTCGCCACCCCTTCCCTTCGCGTACAAATACCGATAAGATAGCGCCCGCAGTTAATAAAAATTATGTTAGGAAAAAAGGCTCAAGTTTGTACGAAAAATAAGAACAAAGGGCTTAGGAAACATACAAACCTCAATCTCGGCCACAACGAACGTAATAAACGGCCCAATAAGAACATGATGGTGCGATACCCCCATGACATCAGAAATCTGCGGTGTTCCCACCCCCCTCCCAAACTGAACAGAAGTGCTGTACTGTAGTGCTGCCACGCATCGCGGACAACCATATGCTCTCCGCTGTTGTACGGGTTTGATGGCACTCTCCACCACCTCTCATGAGGAACGAGAGAATCGGGAGGATGCGACAGTCCAAAGGAAGAAGAAATACCATTTGCGAAAATGGACGACTTGGGCCGGTACTTCGACCCAAAAGAAGGGATTGAGGCTCGAACCGATTTTGACGTTTCTTAACTGTAGGATCGAACGTCCTCCAAGCGAGAGACAACCTCGCCCTCGGTGAGGGCCTCGGTGAGGGACGAGGTTATGCACGACTTTTCTTTTGGCGGCATCAGATGGACCGCCGGTAGATGGGAGGAATCTATCCATACCAACACCCCGTTACAGCTGCAGCAGCAGACCGCTCGCTACTTCTGCTGTCTGTGCGTCGCTACTTCTGCACTCACTGTGGTGCGTGGTTTGTGCAAAGAGCGGCCCGCAGGCCCGCAGGACACAAAAGGGGGGTACGCGGCAGAAAAAATGTGGTAACCCCATTATCATAAACTCTACCGGGCCCCCTGGTGCTCAGCTAAACAAGTTTCCTTTGAGCGGGGAGTTTCCTTAACGCGAGCGTCCTTAAAGCGGGGTCGACTGTACCCTAAGTTTTACAGAAAAGAAATGCGGGGCTCACTTCGCCGGAACTTGAACTCCTGTTTAATCCTTACTGTATTCTGAGAATTCCTCAAGCCGGGTTCCCACCCACAGCAGTACACCTGTATGAAGTCAAACACGTGCAGAAAGCAGCCCCTCGTACAAGGTACATTCACTAACGACAGCGGTGTTCCGACAGGAGTCCCCGCTTCAGCTTGGTTGATCGCCTTTGTACTTGTTTTGCCATGGAGCCCTTCTGTCATCACGTTCAACAATTTTGTGTGTGTGTGTCTACGGCTGGTACTTCTCTGGCATGGGCATGATACACTAAATACGAGGAGGAGGCGGGAGAACTGCTATGTTAAGTAAAGGTTAAGTTAAGAGTGTGATATACACAGCGGGCACGTGAAATCCTTATCGTTGCACTACGAGTACGGTGATAGCCAGAGGCCCAACACCCGAAGACTTTGTCATGTAAAGTGCAGCTATCTGCAGCATTTCGCAGCT